CATTCACAAAAGCTCCTTGGTAGTGTGCAACAATATCTGGCAAAACCTTCTTCAGCCTTAAAGACAACACTTTTGCAATGATTTTACACAAGCTATTAACCAAGCTAATTGGCCTAAAATCCTTCGGGTGGGAAGCATCTTTCTTTTTTGGAATTAAGGCTATAAATGTGGAATTCACACCCGGATTGACAATTCYTCTCCTGTAAAACTCCTCAAATACCTGCAAAAGGTCATCTTTCAAAATGTCCCAACAGTCCTGATAAAAACCCATAGTGAACCCATCCGGCCCCGGGGCTTTTGTTCTATCCATAGAAAATACAGCCTCCTTGATCTCTTCTAAACTAAAGTTCACATAGTTATCATCACAAACAATAATGACATCACCCTCGGTTGCAATTGCTGTAGTATCTCTTTCTTCTTTATTTCCTTCATCTTTTCCTCTAGCTTGTTCTATTTTCCAAATTCTGCATTAATTCTTGTAATGTCTTGGTTTATTACAGTGATGACAGATAATATTTTTCTTGGACCTGGATTTTCCTCTAGATTTTGTCATATTTGTTGTGGGGACCTCTACTCTTACTTCTTCCCTATCTTTCTTTCTTTTTTGTCACAAGAGCTTGGGATTCTGAGTAAGTTCCTTGTTCTTTCCTCTTGGACTCTTCATTCAACAAGGCATCTTTGATTGTGTCCATTAGGGGCTGAGTTGCTGATTGAAACCACCAAAGTTTCCTAACTGTCAGACAAGGAACTAAGTAAGAACAAGGCCTGGACTTCATCATCCAGATTCAATTTCATAGTAGTCAATTGATTTATCAAAGCTCGAAAGTCACTCAAATCTTTAGACATATTAGTCCCATCTTTATATCTTAAGTGTGCAATTTTCCTAATCAAGGCAGCCTTGTTTAAACCCGTTTTCCTTTGATACATAGACTTTAATTTTTCCATAAAACATCAGCCATAGTTTCTTGTGCAACATAGTGAAAAATATTATGGTCAATCCATTGTCAGATTTGGCCGACATTTTTCCTATGAATAATTCCCATTCATCACTTGACTTGTCACTTGGCTTTGCTTCATCACCTCTTATGGGTAGGTACAAATTTTTGCAATAAAGAATGTCCTCCATTTTGGGTTTTTAGATGACATAGTTCGATAAGGTCAATTTTATCATAACATGTGAGAATTCCTCCATTTATATCAACACAAACAATTAATTTAAGCTAACCAACTTTGATATCACTATTGGGGAAGATACACTACAATAGCAAAAATGAATGTGAAAAGCAATCCCAGGATAACAAGAAACTTTCCCCTAAGTTTGTGTGTTAAAATGGGTTTGTCAACAACAATGACAACAGATAAACAATTCAGCCAAGTAACAAAAAATACAAATAGCAGTCACCACACGATAGAACACCAGAATTTTTACGTGAAAAACCCCAAAATTGGGGAAAAACCACGGGACCTATGCTCCGTAAAAGTCTTCCACTAATTCAGAAATTAATGGGTACAATAGTCCTCTCTAGTTGCAACTACAGGTTTATAAACATCAAGAAAATAATTCTTGGCTCACAAGTACAACATTAACATCATCAAGTATAAGGTTGATTCAACGAAAACAAAGGTTTGGATCTCACCAAGTTGTTGTAAATATGAAACTGAAAGAAAAGGAGAGACAACCAATCTGAACTGGAGTGAGATTATTGATTCTTGAACAACACTTAATTACATCAAGAACGGGCTTGAAAACACATCCGAGCTTGGCCTTGAATGGAATAGAAACCAACTCTTTCTTCTCTTCTTCACAAAACTCAAAACCCAGAAAAACCCTTGGTTCCCTCTGTTTTTCTTTTCTCTTTCTCACTTCAGTGGTTTCGAAATGGAAGCACACTGGATCAAAAAAGGTGGGAGCCTTTTTGGCTTCCACAATATGACTCCTTTTTAGGAGCACGAAAAGGTGAGGTCGGCCCCTCATATGGGCTGGACCCACACCCAACACCTTTAAATCCAATCTTCCAATACTCTGTCTCACATATCAACATGTTTTGAGTTGAAACATTTTCATTTGATGTTAGATTTAAATTTTTCAGAAATGAGATATTTCAATTGCTTATTTTGGTTTTCATCGCAGTGGAGACCTTTGCTTTCTTAATTCTAACATTGCTACTATTTTCTTTAGTAGATACATGCAATCATGGGGAAGAATGGTTCAGGGAAGAGCACATTTTCTAAGGTCAGTGTTCTTGTCCTTTTGAGGTTTCTGTTCGTTCTTGTACCCTTGCAGATTGGGACTTAATATGCTCAACTGTAAATTAATTGAATATTGATCTCCTTCTAGTTACCTAAGACGGTGTTTGGCATAGTTACATTTAAAGGGCTTATCGTATCAATGTTTTAGCATAAGCAGCCAAAGATGGTGCTTGTTGATGCCCATGTATGCAAAAATGCCAACACAACGATTGTGGTGACGACAGTGATTTAAAAGGCACGCCTAGGCGCATTTTAGGGTAGGCGCCTCGCCCAAGTCCTAGGCACAGCCCATTCAAAAGGCGCACGCCTGGTGCGCCTTGCCCCTTAGCCCTAGGTGTGCGCCTTTTGAAAATTTGCCGCTTTTTCCCTTTTTTTGAGTTTGGCCGCTAGGCCGGGGGCTTTGCCCTCGGACCCCCGTGCCACGCCTCTCGAGACCAGCCCAAACAAGTCCATGTTTGGGTTTTAAATTCTTAGATTTCACACAAAAGTAATAATTTTATAGTTTAAATTGCTTTTAAGAAGATATTTTATTAAGATGAATGAATGGACAGCATTACCAAATAGGGGGTTCTTGAAGCTTCGGTGAGAAATCTAAGAATTTAAGACCCTAACATGGACTTGTTTGGCTTGCCTCGAGGGGCGTGGCACAAAGGCGGCTCGTAGAATTAGGAATGTAATATATCACATTAGCTACTTGATGCAATTGAGAAAAAAAAAAGAGATTGTGGGTTTTATATGCTTGAAAATGTTTGATTTCATTTTTAAATTCTCATTTGAATATGCTTTACATATTATATTTATGTATTTTAATTTTAGATGATAGGTTTTTTAAAACATTTATTTTAAAACTTAAGTTAATATGATGTTTTATAATCTTTTGTTTTTTTTTTTGAATTTTTTGCATTTATTTTATTTTATTTTATTTTTTTTGAATTTTTTGCATTTTTTAAAATTGTGCTTCTTGCCTCAGAAAGGCATGCGCCTCAGGCGCAAAATGGCCCTTGTGCATTTTTTGCACCTTGCGCTTTTAAAACACTAGGTGATGATCAGAAACACCTGGGGGTGTTGCTGCAGTATCCCTATGAATTGACACATTAAAAAAATGAAAGCAGAACACTTTTCTTAGTTGTCGGGTTCTACTAAATGCTTGAACACTTAACATATGTCTCTACTAAACACTTTTCTGGCAGAAGTGGTGGCTTAATCGGGGGAGGGGGATGTATTGCTAATTATGCTTAATCTTAACTTTAAAATGACCACAATGCCAAATGCCATCAGACGGCTTTTAACATCCATACTTTTGTTGGCAGTTGCATTTGAATGACTTGTTACACCAGGATTTTAGCATAATCAGGCAAACATTGTGTTTGTTGATCCTCGTTTATGTAAAAATTCCAATGCAAAGGCAGTGAATAGATTTTTCTGCAAGGGACTATTATCAGAAACACCATTTGGATGTTTTTATAATTTGGGGTGTTGCCACATTGCCTTTTCTATATGTGGCACATTAAAATGCTTAAAAATATCTGATTTGTCGTATTCCATTTTTTTAATAGAAAACTAAAGCACTTTTAAGTGCTTAGTCAGCACATGCTCCTTACCAAACATGGTTTTGGCAGAAATATTGCATAATTTATTTTGGTGGTTGTGTTGGGGGAGGGGGCCCATTGCTGAAACACAATAATAAAAAAATCATTATGCCAAAACCAACTTAGACTATTGGAGGGGAACAGAAATAAAAGAAAGAGGAGATGCTCATCTGCTACTCCCCAGTTTTCCCTGTTCGGTTCCAGAAATACTGCTATTTGTAATTTGTAAAGATAGAGGAGGAGGTGCAGGGGACTTACTGAAAAATTTCCCATCTTCTTAGCAGACTGTCAAGTCCAGGGGGAGGGCATTTTAAAATCCATTGGTTTTGCACTTCTATTTGAGTTTCCAGTTGCACCTCCTGACTCCAAGCACAACCCAAAGTTATTTTTCCTAGTTTGCACTTCCTTGCCTAAAAGGTGGAGTCTGGTCCATATTTGTTGCAGGTTCTTGTTGGCCATCCAGATTATGAGGTTACTGGAGGCAGTGCTATTTTTAAAGGAGAAAATCTGCTGGACATGGATCCTGAAGAAAGGTCTCTTTTTGGGCTTTTCATGAGCTTCCAATCCCCAATTGAGATCCCAGGTGTAAGCAACATGGACTTTCTGAATATGGCATACAATGCTCGAATGCGAAAACTTGGTCGCAAAGAGCTTGGACCTATTGAGGTATGATCCATTTGTGGCATCTTTTTTTTTTATTATTTCTAGTAGTGGGTTTTGGTAGTGTTTCTCCAATTTTTGTACTTCACCCTACTGGAAACCTAATATTTGTATCCTTTTATTGAAGCATCATTTTTCATTGATGAATGTTTCAGAGGTATTGATCCTAATGATAGGGGTGTTATTTTTTCTCCCTTTTCCTCTTTTTAATAAGTTGTTTTGTTCAATTCTTTAGTTTGACTGAAAAAACAACAGCTGTTAATTTGGCTAGTCTATTGTAATTTCATTTTGTGGCATTGGATTTTGCTGTTTAGTGCCTAAGGTATGGTATTCTTAACCATATTATGATGATAAAAAGGATAAGTAGTTTTCGTTGTCTTGCCTAGGTTATATTCTTTCCGAAAATGATCAAAATGGTTGTGTCCAGTGCATTCCTTTAAATAATTAGAATGACATGGTAAAACTTTGAGTGAAAAAGCCATAGGATTGATTATGATCATCCCTCTTTGCTGATCTTTGGCCTAAGGTGTCCTCAATCCTCTTGGTTGAACACTTCAATCATTGAAAGGCATGACTGCTATGATAACCTATCCTCATTTATATGATGGGCTTGGCCATAGTAGTTTTGAATTTGGTGGCTGGTGATTTGACTAAACTACTCAGGAACATTAACATTTATGTATTCAATTTATTTGCTTTCTATCTTAACAAAATTTGTTTGAATTGATGTATCTTCTCTTTCTTTAAGACTCCATCTTGTTCTTGCAGTTCTATGAGGTAATAAGTCGCAAGCTTGATGTTGTGAATATGAAGATCGACTTCCTGAACCGAAATGTTAATGAAGGGTTTAGTGGTGGTGAAAGGAAACGCAATGAGATTTTGCAGCTTGCGGTATGAATTTGTATATTTTACTGTTTCATTTTCGTTTCATGTTATGAACTTTTATCTAATTTATGGTGTTTGATATTAGGGTACTGAAATTACCATCAGAACAGGACAAGGGCAATCATTAAAAAGGTCCTACATGGATTTGGTAGACCAATTTGATTTGATTGGTTGGTCCTGAAAATCCAATCTATTGGATACTATATAGGTTGTGAATCTATAGGTCTAGGAGATGGTTTTGTGGGTGGGGTTGTGTGTCTGTAAGCTCAATTTCACCTAGACATGCTTGGAGTTGATAATCTATGTAGTTTGAAAATTAAACCATTTCCACCTACATAAAATGTGAAAATGGTTTGAAAATTCCAAACTACATAAAAGGTAGGTTGGCCTTGGACCAGTTAAGTATACTTATCCTGGCAAGGGTGAGATAATGTCTAGGTGGAAATGGAGCTGAATTCCATACCTCCCTAGTTCCATGGAATTTAAATGAATACTGAGCCCATCAAATGTTGAATTCAGGAAAAATGTGGAATAAGGAGGCCTGAATTTCTCAATTTCACACTATCTAACTAGCAAAATTCTAGAACCTTGTGGAAGGGAGAGCAGCATAGCAGAATCTGCAAAACTTGTGGAAGACAGTTTTAGGCTTTTACTAGATACATCAAACACCATGCCTAAATGTCGCCAAGGAGCTGTTTGATAATAGCTGAAGTCGATGAACGAAAAGACTTATTGCTTTAAGTGAATAAGATTTTAAGGAGGTTATGAACTCCTTAAGAGCTGAAGCTAGAGTTGCGTTGATTATTTTACCCTTGAATATTTTATTGTTTAATTATGTTGTCCACTAAAAGATAATACAATAAGTCATTCAATTCAGCAACTTCAGCCATATTATTTCTTGTGTGGAACACCTGGGGGATTAACAACCCTCACACTGTCCGTTTCCTTAGGAAACATATCAGAAATATGAACCCAGAAATAATTTTCCTCTCGGAAACTAAACTAACCTATAAGAAATCCAATTGTGTAGCCCTTAAATTAGGTTATACAAAATCATGCTATGTTCCTGCAAAGGGGAGATTGGGGGGACTATTTTGTTGTTGGAAAACAGATCTATCAATTAAAACATTGACTCGTCCGGTAGATGGATTAAACTACAAATTCAACACTCCCCTACCGGTCCAGCATGGGCTATTTGCTTTTGTTATGGTCATCATGAAAAACATAAAGGGCTAAAATTTGGAAAGAACTAGATGAATCTATGAGAATTCATAATGAATGGCTTTTAATTGGTGATTTAAATGACTTAGTGGACTCAGAGGATTACTGTGGTCATAAGAAAGGTGCCCTCAGACTTCTAAACTGCTTAACTCACTGATCATGAATCACTCTCTTCTAGAAGTACCCTCTATAGGCTCCCAGTACACATGGTCTAATCACAAAGGGGGAAGAAAGAAGGTTAAAGAAAAACTGGATAGAGGCCTGGCATCTCTGGGGTGGTTCAGCTATTTCCCTGAAGCCCAAATAACCGCTATGCCAACCTTATTCTCTGACCATACCCTCTTAATTCTAAATACCAACCCCAACAAAAACACAGGCCCTAAATAATTCCACTTCTTACTTATTTGGGCAGATGAGAGTGGATGTAGAGAGATCATTAAGGAACAATGGAATGCTAACTGTGAATCCTCTATCCCAATGAAGCTGAGAAAATGCAAGAACTCAATCAAAACCTGGAACACGAGAGATCGAGAAAATCCAAGACAAGTTATACAGATTGAAGAAGAAATCAGGAAATTGGAAGAGGAGGGAACTAATGAAGCCAATAGGAAAAAAGAACTTCTGAGAAGAGGATATGAAAGATGGTTGCTGAGAGAAGAGTTACTTTGGAAATTTAAATCTAGGGAGCTATGGTTACAGGAGGGTGACTGAAACACTAAATATTTTATCAAATCCCCAAATTCAATAGAAGGAGAAACTCCCTAGAATTTTTGAAATCAGAGGAAGGAGATTTTAATGAAGGTTGAGGAAATGGCTGAGGCTTTCAAGAGACAACTCAAGAATGTTAGTGATTTCCCTTATGCAGGGGATGTAGAAATAGAAGGGCTAGTGTACTCCAAACTGTCTGATGAGGAATCCAGCTCACTACTTATTCCACCAACAGAAGAGGAGATTGAATTAATAGTGAAGTCTACAACAGAGAAGGAGATTGAATTAATAGTGAAGTCTACGATAACCCACTCAACCCCTGGACCTGACAGATTTCCCCCATTTTTTTTTTATCAGAAATTTTGGCCCCTTGTGAAACATGATGTGTAAACTAGTCAGGGAATTTTTTGAATCTGGAAGCTTCCCTGAAGAGATCAATTCTACAAACCTGGTGTTTATCCCAAAAGTTAAACTAACCAAAAAGATCACCCAATTCCGGCCCATCAGTGTCTGTAATGTAATCTACAGAATCCTAGCAAAATGCCTAGTGATGAGAATGTAGAACTTATTGGATAAGTTGGTAGCCTCAAATCAATCAGCTTTTATCAAAGGCAGACAATGCACAGATAATGTAATCATTGCCAATGAAATCACAAATAAGATGAGAAAAATGAAAAAGGGCAAGGGATGGCTGCTGATACAAATGGACATTTCTAATGCTTATGAAAGAATGAGGAAAGATTTTATTATTGAAGTCTTGAGGGAGATGGGGTTCCCAGATAAGTGGTGCAAAATGATAAATTAGTGTATATGAACCCCCAAATTTTCAATCAAAATTAATGGAACACAAAAAGAATTCTTCAGTTTGGAAAATGGAATTAGACAAGGGGATCCCCTATTGCCATACCTATTTATTCTGGGAATGCAAATCTTGTCCTGCTTGTTTCATAAAGCTGAAATGGAGAATGGCCTCAACGGATTCAAGCTTTGTAGAAGGGGAACTCCAATATCACACCTACTATTTGCAGACGACTGTCTAGTAATGTGTCAAGCAGTCCCCAAGCAAATAAAAAAGATCCAATATATTTTCAAAAAAAATTGAGGAGCTCTCGGGGCAGAAAATAACTTACTCTAAATCAGGGGTGTTTTCAGCAAGGGCATCCATAGGAGTAACAAGAAGTTGCTGCTTAAACTCCTAAAGTGTAAAATGTGAGGAGAAATACCTAGGGGCTAGCCTATTCAACTCCAGTTTCTTGAGGCAACAAAAGAAAAGGGGAAGATGTTTATGGAGAATAACAAGAGCAGCCTTGGTATGGACCATTTGGGAAAAGAGAAACCAAAGAATCTTCCATGAAAAGAGTAGATCAGTGAAGGAAGTGATTGAATCCATAAGGATCAGATCTGCACACAGGTTGTGCCAGGCCCAACATGATGGTCTGGGCCGTGTTGGGCCTAGGGTTCCAGGTCCACGGGCCGGCACGACAAAGCATGATGGCACACAGGCCGGTTTGGGTCATACTGTCGTGCCGTGCCGCCCGCGGCCCACGTGCCAACACGGCCCAACCTGCAGGCCCATAGCTATATAGGGTTTTTTTTTACAGAAATACCCCCAATAGCTACAAACAACTATATAGGGGGTATTTATGTATTTTGGTTTTGGGGGGAGAAAGAACGACACAAATGCCCCCAACAGCTAGTTTGGGGGGCATTTTGGGTAAAGTGATAAAAAATTTACAATGACTAAAATACCCCTCCCAATAGTTGTATAGCATTTTTTCAAATTATTGTAAATTTTGTTTTAATTTTATTTAATTTATTCGATATTTTTTAATAACGTAATTTTTTATTTTCAATTTGTAACTATATTGTATTTTTTATATTTTATTAATTTGTTCCATTTTCCAATTTTCATATTTCATTCATCCAACCATTGTTTGCTTTGTATCATTCAAATTTAAATGAAATAAAATTCCTATTTTTCTTCTAATTTGTTATTCACTTCTTATTTGGTTAAGTTTTTTTTTTTTTTCATTTCTTTGTTAGATTTCTTATTTTTTCAAATAGTTCCCAAAGGAAAGTTAAATATTTTAGTTTTACTTAGAAAAGAAAAAAAATAAAAAATGTAAAAAAAATAGTCTGGCTCTGTTCGGCCCACGCCAAGGCCCATCCTATGGCCCAAATCGGCCCGGCTTGCAGCCCACCCAGCCTAGGCCTGTGGCGTGGCATGACACGACACGGGCCCGCATGGGCTTGGGCCGTGGGCTGACCCCCCAAATTATCCATGGGGAGGGTGGCACGACTCAGGACGGCCTGTGGGCCAGCATGACATGGATTGCACTTTGCACAGGCCCGTTTTACACCTCCAAAGTTGCACAAGCAGATATACACAAAGCAGTAGTGATAATGGAATGGAAACCTCTAAGGCCAAACAAACTGAAACTAAATTATGATGGGAGCTCTTTTAGTAATCCGGGGAGGGCGGGTCTAGGGGGAGTCTTCAGAAACCATCAAGGTGTAGTAGTGGCCTTATTCTCTAGGCCAATTGGAGTTGGATATTCGGTTAAGGCTGAGATAATGTCTCTTTTACAAGGACTAAGACTGGCAACACAGCTGGTTGTTAGAGAGCTTGAAGTGGAATCAGACTCCTTATTGGTTATTTCAAATCAATTCAGATCCTTGGAAATATAAAATTGCCTTTAGGGAAATTCCTCGCAAAAATTGTAACAATAGCTTTGGATGGGTAAAAAGAACAGAAAATGGGCTGGCAGATGTCCTAGCAAAACAGGGGCAAATTCTCTTTATTTTGGGAAATGTTGTAATCTGTAATAGTAAAAAGGGGGTGATGGTAAAATTAGGGTGGCCAACCTGGTTTTTGCTATAACACCTAGGGGGAAGAATAGCTTTTTTGATGAACAAGAATAATAGGGAGAATCATTGTTCGAATAGGCATTGAGAAGGAAATCTAGGGTTACAAGTGGTGTGTGACTCCAAACCAGCATCGGCCTTTGTTCGTTCTTTGCTTAAGAAGGGGAAAAATTTCTTTCGATTGGGAGATATCCAAGCCAGTACCGACCCCT